TTGTTTCTCTAGCTATATTTCAGGAGAATGCACGTTTGAATAATGACGTCCGCCACAATTTCTTCTAATAGAACACCCTATATATTGTTACGTTATTCGGGTGCAGAAGCGAGCACGACACTATTTATTTTCGGACTGATTTATTTGAGCTAAAGAAACACTAATTTATATCGAACTTATAACTACTATTTATTTAAAATGATATATATCACGCGGTATATGACTGACTCTCTGACACTGACTGCATGCAGTTGTTCGGTCGTCTTATATATATGAGATCCCTTGGTAGGCTTTGCTTATCGAACATTCTCGAATAATCTTCCGTACCCTTCTTTTTGTTCTAGAAGCTTCTTAGAACAATACCTCTCTCTCTAATTGTTCCACCGATTGTTTCCAGAACATTCCAGAATCTTTTGTCACGTTATTTATCACCGCGGCATATATTGAGTGTTCGGAAATATACTGGTAGAGGAAGGAATCATTGGGATGTTGGAGAACAATCTGAGATGCGTGTTACAGGATGATCGTTGTACTCCTGCCTTCCTGAAGATGTTTCTAGAGCCCTTCTTAGGGAAATATCATTACACTGCCCTCTCCTTAGAACGCATTCCTTCTGGAATGCACTCTGATCGTTACTAAGATAGGGACAATTGGTTTCATTTCTATAACGTGCAGTACGGTAGAAATAGCATGGCACTGTCTTCTCTCTTGAACTTCCTTCGGAGTTCCAGCAGCATACCAGAATTTCAACTCCGGTGAATCTAAATACAACCTGCAGCATGTTCCTTACAACTCTCCAATTCAAGCCATCCAGACCACACGTCAGCTTTGGAACAGCTATCTTCTGTATGTCTTTCTCGAGTATGGCGCTTCGTAAGTCTACTAGTGTCTCCCAGAGGTCCTTGTAAGTGGGTTTCCCAGAAGATCTTTCTTTCGTTTTAAGATAAAACAGATACCTTTTTCCTTCAGGGCTAATATCTTCTATTTCTATGTAGTGCTCGACCGACGGAGGAACCCTGTTGATGAAGCTCCTCTAACTTCCCGACAGACATCTGAAGATCCTCGGCGACGCAGTGAGCTAGTGCGTATTCTACAGGAGTGGCAAAAAGGTCGCGTTGCTCTTCCTTGGTGACACCAAACCTTGCTTTTGATGAACCACTGTAAGTCCCAATGAATTCGTCGAATGTGAGCTCCTCTTCTTCTGGACATACTTGTCGAACGTGATGATCTTGTGTTCCATCGAATGATGCTAGTCTGTTGAAATGAACAACTCTAGGTTTGCCACTGGGTTCTTTACTGATGCGGTAGATGACATCCTTGATCTTCTTCTTGACGGTATAAGGTTCTTCCCAAGATCTCTGTAGTTTTGGACAAATACCCCGTTTCCTTTGTGGATTGTACAACCACACCAGGTCTCCTTCTGCGTATCCTGCACCCCAAGCTCTGATGTCGTATCGGTCTTTTATGCGATCGCTGGCGATTTTCAGATTAGAACGAACCAATTCGTGGATATCGTTTTAATCTTTTTCATCAGATTCGTAACGTAATCTTCCCCCACTATGTCTTCACCAGGTCTACATCCGAAGACCTAGTCACATGGAAGCCTCATATCTCGTCCAAATAGAACCTTCGCCGGAGTCTGTCCTGTAGATTGTTGGTGTTGATCTACAACTTTGCAGAGATACCTCCCTATGGTTCGGTTCATTCGCTCCACCATGCCATCTGACTGTGGATGCAATGGAGTTGTTCTTGTTTTCTTGATTCCTAACTTCTCGCTCATCTTCTTCAACACTCCACTCTCGAAGTTCCGGCCCTGATCAGAGTGAAGTTTCAATGACACCGCAAAACGACTGATTAGTTGATTCATTAGGACATCGGCGACAGTTACGGCTTCCTGGTTAAGGATCGCATACGCTTCTACCCACTTGGTGAAGTAGACCATGCAGACAAGGATGAATTTATTTCCATCAACAGTCACTGGAAACGGCCCCGCAATATCCATGGCAATCCTCTCGAAAGGGCTTACAACATTGTACTGTCTCATGGGTGCCCTTGGTTCACGATGAGGCCCATTGCTGGCAAAGCACACGGTGCATATACGGCACTACTCCCTGACGTCGTCACTGCAGTTCACCCAGTAGAACCGCTCTCGTACCCGCTGCGGGGTATTCCTCACTCCAAGATGTCCCCCTGAAGTTCCATCATGTACATATCCGAGTACTTCCGACACTCGGCTCCTAGGGATGACCAACTGCATCCGATTATCCGATCCATCATCGCTCTCGAGATACCTCTTGAGCAGGTCATCTTCTAATACCAAGGAGTCCCCCAGTACGCCTGCAAGGTCTGTGAAGATGGTGATACTTCTTGCCAAGAAGGGCGGCGATTCGCTTTCTTCCATTCTCGAAGCTTCTGAAGTTCTGGGTCCTTTCTTGCTCTTGCTTGATTGCCTGCAGGTAACCAATCTTCATTGACAATTGTGGTTCTGCAGAGGGCTGCTTCCTTATCCTTCAAATAACTGCAATGTGAGCACTCAGGTGGACATGGCCTTCTGGACAATGCATCTGCATTCTTATGGCTCGTCCCCACTCGGTGTGCTATCTCGAAGTCATATTCTTGGAGCCTCTCGATCCAACGAGCTACTTGGCCTTCGGGGTTCTTAAAATTCAGGAGCCACTTCAATGCAGCGTGGTCCGTCCTGAGTAGGAATTTTCGTCCATAGAGGTACTTATAGAAGTGCTCCACTGATTTCACCATGGCCAATAATTCCCTCCTGGTAACGCAGTAGTTACGTTCTGCCTTTGAGAGCACCTTGCTGAAGTAACCGATTACTCGCTCTCGCCCATCTTGATACTGCGAAAGGACTCCACCAATGCCGATAATACTGGCATCTGTGTCAAGAATGGATGGTCCTCCTGGAAGTGGATACCCAAGAATCGGTGTAGTGGTCAAGTGTTCCTTCAGAGCATCAAAGGCGGCCTGGCATTCTGGATCCCAGTGGAAGGGACGTGCTTCCTCGGTGAAACGAGTCAGAGGCTTTGCGATATTCGATAACATTCGAACATAACGTCGATAATGAGTGCAGAGTCCAAGGAAGCTCCTGAGTTGATGCTTATCTTTTGGTACTGGCTATTGCTTCACTGCTCGTACCTTCTCAGGGTCGACTTCCACACTCTGCCTTCCTACGACGTGTCCCAAGCATATACGTATTAATAATCAATACAGATAATCTCTATCTGTTTCCATAGCGAAACATGAAGCCGATTTTTGAAGACAAATGACTATCCATAAGGAAAAGTTTTGAAACGATCAGACACATACTGCTTTGATTGAAAGGCTAGTAAACGTCATTGTCCACCGAAACGCATGTTTTTGATGACTACTATAATAGCGCATGGCGCATGCGTATCATGCCACCAAATCCTCATGGATATTCATTTGTTTCATATTTTTGGCTTCATCCTGGCACCCGTTATGATCCGTATTGTTTATTAATACGTATATGGTCCCAAGTAGTTTCTGCAGCAGATGACATTTCTTCAGATTGAGTGTGAGGTTTGTAGCCTGAAGTCTCTTGAAATCTTCCTCTAGGTTAGCCAGATGTTCTTCAAAAGTTTTTCCGATCACGATGATGTCATCCAAATAAACCAGGCATGTCTTCCAGGAGAGTCCCCTCAACACATTCTCCATGATTCGTTCGAAGGTGGCCGGAGCATTGCAGAGTCCGAAAGGCATAACCTTGAATTGCCATAATCCAGTGCCGATGGTGAAAGATGTCTTTTCCTCATCTGCCGGATCCATTTCCACCTGCCAATATCCACTTTTCAGGTCCAGAGTGAAGAAAAGATTCGATTCCGCCAACGTGTCGAGTGTGTCGTCAATTCGAGGCAAAGGATAGCTGTCCTTCTTTATCACGTTGTTCAATCGGTGATAGTCCACGCAGAAACGAGTGTTTCCATCTTTCTTTTTTACTAGTACCACTGGTGAAGCCCATGGACTATTAGATTGCTCGATTACCCCGTCTTCTTCCATATCTTGGATCATCTTTTCTAGAATCCCCTAAGCCGGTGTGATTTTGTTATTATGACAGCGAAATGAGTTCACCTTTACTTTTCCAGCGACAAAACCGAAACTTAACATTCCAAAGCATGAAAATCAAAATTGTAAACAAATTTTTGATGGTATTCATGTCATTTATTCTCAAACTTGCGTTGTCAGAAAAGTATCTATACTCTGTGAAATGTTGCGATTTGCAGAGTTTTCTAGTGGAGAAATTGAAAAAAACCATCAACAATAATGTGATTTAACGTATTCATTGAATTGTCTTACCGACTTGAACTCAAGCATTTTCTTCGGGTCGAAGTAAACTTGACATTTGAAATTCGATTTTTGTTGCCTTCAAGAATATGAAATTTTCAACTGAATTTGAAATCATTTTTTTTTCACCTTTATGAAATCCCGCTGACAAGATTAAATTTCATATCAAACGCATTTGATCTGGAACAACCAAAAAAATTCGCCTGCGACGTTTTTTTGCTTTAGATATATCACCCCTGCACCACGAATTACTCCTCCTCTCATGGAACAATACTGGATATGCGTCTGTAATAATTCGTGTAGGAGAAATACCGTCATTGGTATTTTTTTAATGGGGTTTAATGGGGTGGCCACCACTGAATTTAGCGGGCGCACTGTAAACGAACCCTGAGTGTAATATATATTTGAATTCAGACTTCCATGAGGATTCCAAAAATTCAATAATATATAGGATGTTCTATTCGAATAAATGGTCGCGGACGTCATAAATAAAACGTGGCTCACCCACGTTATGAATGTGACAAATTGAAAATAAAAATTGACTTGTTTCAGGAGATTTATCAGAAATGGGTGGTTTGACTGAAAATAAATTGATTCAGTACTTTGCGAAAGCACAAATTTTCGCCAATAGCACCTATACAAGTGCGGGTCGTGCATATTCAATAAATTCAGTCATTCATTTTATATTGCTTTAATTGAAATTTGTATCACTACACAATGAATTATTACTTAGATTGAAAAGATCGATATAGATATAAAATATTATAAGCAAACTAGGAAGAGATTATTGGACATAGATACTGATCTAACTTTATATTATAAAAGCACATACCCCATGTTTGAATCTACTGGAAAATGCAAATTAACTATCTAATTGATATATTCTTCACCTATAAAAATCTTGATAGACTCCTTATTGCACGTTAAGAATTTTCTTGAAACTTGAAATTTCAATAACAGAATTCTCCTAAAATTTTGATTTAATTACTTAGTTAACTAATTTCATTGAACACTATCATCTACAGCTTTCACCGAATCATCTTTGACGACTTCAGAAGAAACCTGGTCTTGATATGAGTCATTAGGGTGACTCTCCAGATTTCCTGCATCAACTTGATATTGCTGGTTAGGGTCCTCCTCGTATTGCTGATTCGGATCATAGTGCTCATTGGGATCATACTGATCATTAGGATCATACTGTTGATTAGGATCGTAATGCTGGTTTGGGTCATATCCCTGATTTACGTCATACTGTTGGTTTGGGTCATATTGTTGGTTAGGATCATAGTGATGGTTAGGATCATAGTGTTGGTTTGGATCATAAGATTGGTCAGGATCATAGTGCTGGTTAGTACTATAGTTGGGATATTGGTCTTCTGCAGTTTGCTCGAACTGAGGTTGGTTGTCTGTAGGTGGTTGTTCATGGTGACTACTATCGAGATTCTGATATTTTTGTTCAGGTTGTGAATTCCTACTGATGACTTCTTCTTGAGGTTGCTCCTGGCTTGATTGCCTGGAGGAGATTACAGGTTCTTCGGACTGAGTTGGTGGTGGTTGCGCTTGTGTCACCGGTTCCGTTTTTACTGGTTCTTTCTGTCTTTCTGATGGACTAGTTTTAGATCGTGATTCAGACTCTATGATAGGTTTTGGAATGGCATCTGCTGGTTTTGTTGGTGCATTTCTTTGATTGCCATTTGGAGTATGTCTTTCATCTAAAGACAAATGAATAAGGAATTTATATAATGTCGTATCTCAGTTTTGACTTTGAAAATCGATACAAAAAATGGAAAGATTAAATATTTGGTTCCGGATATTATCTAAATTTATCATCATGCATTGTTTGAACTACTATATAAATGCCCATAAATGTTTGTGCTCAACCATAATCAATATATAAGTGCATGACGTTTTTGTTCTATTTTGTTCGAACAGGACTACAAGCATTGAAAATCATGAATTGAAAATCATAACTACAGAATAGTGAGAGATACCTTTCAAATTAGATGACAATAACTGTGACTGCGAGAATCTATTACTTAGAAATTCTAGGTTAGCTTGTAGTTCCCGTATTTCCTCCCTAGAACAATACACACATTTCAGAATGCACACTAAAAAGTATACCTTTTTGTCGTCCTCATTATGTTCGACCCGATGCATTTGCTTCAGAAAGGTCCAAATATTCTCCAGTCGTATCAAAAGTTCAGTATTTTTTGCTCGTAAATCAGTCCTGTCAATTCTTAGCAACAATAGAATATTTAACTCATTGAGTTGAATCGATCACTACAGCTTCTACAATCATTTAGATGGAGAGGAAATATAATTCAGAATTATCTCACTTCATAAAATTTTTGACGCCGCCACTGGGTCACAGCTCTCATTCAAATTGAGTCTTAGGAGAGAGTGGCGCATAACATAACCTTGAACATTGTCGCTCTGAACGGAAACCTAGTAGACGAGGAACAAATATTAATTACTGTTCACTGGCTCAAAATATGTCCAAACTTTAGGTTTTAATGATTTTCTGGCATATTTTTCCCAATGTTAGATTCTGTGATATACTATTTCTTAATATTATTTTCAATTGATCAGTTTTGTGTGAAACATAGATTTTTTTGTGCAAAATAATTGTTCAACTTGCAATGTATGTGTGTATAAGTATGATTGTTCGGGTGGAATCTTTGAACTCAATTTTGAAATACATATCGTCAACCGATTGAGCTGAAATTTTGAATACATGTTCAGTTTGGATGATAATGCACGATAAGGTATGTGACGTCATTCTAAATCCAATATGGCGGACCATCCGAGATGGCGGAATAGTTATTATTTATGCACTTCTGCAATATGGGTATCAAATGAAAGGGCTCATTGAGAGCAACTCGAAATATAATGTGACGTCACGTTGAATCCGATATGGCGGACCATCCTTGATGGTGGAAAAATGATTATTCATGCACTTCTGCCATATTGGTATCAAATGAGAGGGCTTGCCGAGAATAATTAGGAATAATGTGACATCACTCTGAATCCAATATATTAAAGTTTTTTGTGCTTCTGTATAAAGTGGAAGGGTTCGCAGAGAATAAAAATGCAGGTTTGAAGAAATCGATTTCTAAGCCTATAACATCAATTGATTTACTTTGACTTGTGTAGTTTGGCGAAATGGGCGACATACTGAGAAAACTAGCCAGTGATAACTGAAAAGTAAAAAATGAATGAAAAAAACTTGAAAAAAGCTTTTATTTGAACGCCCTAAAAAGGAGAAAATTAAATTTTCCTTTTAAATTTCAATTATAAACTCATAACCTCATCATACACTATTTATATGATCATATAAAAGCTTGTCGCGATGATCAATATCTGATTGAATTGAAATTTTAAAGATTTGAACTCAGCGATATACTTGTGTAAATAAACTAATACTAATTCAGTCATAAAATCTGCTAAGTTTGAATTTTTTAAATTTCAATTCAATTGAATATTGATTTTATTATCATATAATTTGTGTATAATGAGGTTGTAAGAATTGAAATTCATAAGGAAAATTTTCTTTTTTTCTTTTTAGCGAGTTTGAGGTTTTCAAAGTTTTTTCTCTCATTTTCAATTAATTTTTCATTGAAACATATATTATACTTCACCTACACCTACTAGGTTTTCATTCAAAACAACAATGGCCAAATGTAGGAAAGAGTGGCGCATATAACATAACCCTGAATAATATATCCACTCATGTTATGATTTTGACTACAAGCTTCTACACACTTATAATGGGCCATATACAGGATTATCTGAATCATCAACTGACCTTACGAGATTTGGGGACCACTTTGACAGTGACATCAACTTTGATAGGTTCCTTGCGTTTGGTTGGTCGGACTAAGGGCGAATCTGACTCGCTTTTGGGATTTGCCTGATCCGTCCCTACCAAACACAAGTGATGTTATTCTTCAACTAAAACTGCTGACCAATCGAAAAATTCGAACACAAGTTGGAAATGTTCTCGTCCTTATACAAGGTGTCCCAGAACAAAGTACCATAAATTCCACAGGGTGAACAAGAGACCAAAATAGGCAGGTTTAAATCAACTACTATTTCCTGATTTTCTTGAATATTTTAAAATCCTTGAAAAGTACTGGTCTTAAATTCATAAAGCAATTTAGTATCGAGAATGTGCATGGGAAACAAGCCATATCAATTCAATTAATATACAGGGAGACAGATATTTCGCATTCCCTTCGATAAAAATCGATATAACTTCTTTGGAGTACGCTACTGACCATATTTTGACATTTCGATTAACGACAAAATCAATCATCTTACATTTTTCTATAACTGCAGTCGTTTCATAATTTTTCTGTTTTTTTCGAGATATCTAAGAGGATTCATTTTGGTGCTCATCCATACTTGTTTATGAAGTCGGAATTATCTATCATAATTCGCAAATTTTTACCTCATTTAGTTATTGACCACGATAGTCATGTTCACCATTTTGCAAGCTCATCATCATACGATCTGGGAAGTGGTCGTTTCAAAACTCAATTATTGTTCCTCGCAAAAAAAATATTCGAGAAAATGAAAACAAGTGATTGACCAACAATTTTATCATATGATGAAAGTAGTTCATAAACATGATTATGGTCAATAACTCAACACAAATGAGGTAGAAACTGGCAAAATATGATTATTCTGACACATCATAAACACTTGTGGAGAAGCACCAAAATGAATGAATGTCAGATATCTCGAAAGCCAACAAAAATTTTGAAACAACTGCAGTTAAACAAAGTTGGATGATTTATTTCCAAAAGAGTCAATTTTCATCATAGACAATGCGAAATACCTATCTCCCTGTGATTTTGATGCAATTGGTATGACATGTTTTTGATGCACAGTTACGATAATAAATTTCCCTACGGATTTAGAGCAGTAGCTTTCAAGGATTTTGAAATATTCAACAAAATCTGTGAATAAAATTATTCTACAACACCCTCTAACAGCTCAACGGTGCATTTTCGTATAGAGGTAAGTTGATTCAAATGGGCCTCCTTCTCTTTTTTGTATATTTTCTAAATTTGATCATCAATTGAACCATGAAGTCACTTCTTTGAAAGAACTTGTTGGAATATTTTGAAAAATGAAGTTAGTTACTTTAATTCTAACATACTCTTATTTTTGTTCCTTCGTGTTGGTCCCTCCTCTAGCTCTGTTATTTTTGAACCGATCCCTAAATTTGAAGAATCATTCAGAATGATTTTTTATAATTTTTTTCCCTCCACTTCAGAAAATTCAGGTTGCTCGGAACAAATGATTTACAAGGTACTAGTTGATTTTTTTTAAATGGAAAAACCTGTATTTCATTGTATTTTAGATTCTTCCTGAAGAGCTGATTTCATCAATATACACTCACTAGCAAAAAACAGCCACCAAAAAAATTTGCCAAATTGTTCGCCCTCTAATTTTTCTAATTCTTATCCAATTTTGGCGAAATTTCGACCAAATCGTATATTAATGTTTCGGAATTCCAGTCTGAATATTAGTTCCTTGGAAAAGCTGATGACTTGATCATTATACAGGGAAATATAAAAGTTCCTCTTTCACCGTTAACTTCGTAACGCCCTGTGGAAAAAGTGAGTGGTTAAACTCAGCTTCATCATGTTTTGGGTTGAAGAGTGCTCCCTTCCCAACACAATGTTTTTTTATTCACGTCGATAACCACTTTTTAAGAGAAGATACCGATGTTTTAAGAATTACTGTTGTTTTTTATTTTTATAAACAATAATTCAGAACCATTATTCAACCTTCTGCTTCAGGTGTTTATATTGAGTTCATTGGCTTCATCATGTTTTGAATTGAAGTGTGATCCTTTTTCGTCCCTTCCTCAAAACAATGGTTCTGAATTCACGTCAATATCTTCTTACAAAGAGAAAATACTATAGTGTTTTAAGAACGTTTGGATTTTTTTAATTTCCATTAAAAATAATAAAGAACCTGTTGAGCATCTTAGGGATGAGCTTCAGTGGCTCATTCACCTTGGTCCCGCCTAGTCAGAGACTATTCAAGAGGTATTATGGAAAATTTCAGGCAATTCTTCAACATCACTTGATAAATTTGATTAACTCGATGCCACGGCGGTTGAATGCTGGAATTCAAACTCGACGAAGGCAACCACGGCATACTCGTGTTACCTATTGATTACAGGTCTGTGTAAAAACTACATTGGCTATGAATTTTCATCGAGTAACGGCCGAGTCAATTTAAAAAAAGACTACAGGTCTACTTAACTCTCTCTAAACACTCGTATCTTCTCTTAAAAAGAATATATTGACGTGAATCGAAAACTATTGTATTGAGAAAGGATCACACTTCAATCAAAAGCATAATAGTCCGAGAGCCGACTGCAAATTTCAACCGTCATCTGATAACGAAATGATATACAGGGTGGGTCACGGTGGATGGCCTATCAGAAATATCTGGAGAACGAAAGGACAGAACATCCTGGAAATTGGGATGCTTTGATAATTGAACATTCTCTATTGGTCTGAAATGTTTTCATAGATATAGTGTTGCCACTTCTATCAGAAACAACTAGCAACTTCGTTATTTTATATGGATCACCCTGTATTTTATTGCATCTTTAAATTCTTCCCAAAAAGCTGATTTTATCAATGCATCATACTTGAGGTCTAGCAGGAATGATTACAGAGATATAGGGTGTTCAAAATCAAGATTTTTCAATTTTGGAATTTTTTTGTGTCGAAACTATTCATTATCTATCAAAATGGTTCACATGTCCCTATTTTAACTTCCGATTCACTATCTACTGACATTTAATTGAAACAGATACAGGGTGATCAAAATTGTGAATCTTGAAGCACCCTGTATTTTTCCAATCAAATTCCAGTAGATAGTGAATACCACCCGGTATAATGATCAAGTCATCAGCTCTTAACGGAAACCAATACTTAAATCGGACAAGTATTGAAAAAGTTACAGGGTAAACAATTTGGGCAAATTTTTTGATGGCCGTTTTTTTGCCGGTGAGTGTATTTCACTTGGGGCTTAGCGGGAATGATTACA